GAGCAGCTTGACCAGGAAAAACAGTTGCTATTTGCCTTCAAACCGGTGATGCAAAAATTCCTGCATGATCACGTGGACCTGCAAGTCGGTGCACTCTACGCACTGCAAGTCCACTGCAACGCCCATGCTTTTCCCAAAGGTACGGCTAAAAATGTTCTGACTGAATACTATGATAACTACCCCAGACTTGAAGGAATGCATGTTTTTGTATCTTTTTAATACTTTATTTTTAATTAAAATAATAGTACTAATCATCCCCCCCCAGACCTTGATGATTTTACAATAATAATAATATTTTAATAATGCGGAAAGTCATGGAAATTCATTGGTCTAAAGGTGTGGAAGCCTTGAAGTGTGTTTACTGAGACATGAGTGTTTTTCTGTCTTTAACGGTCTCTTATCTCTTTAGGAATGTTACTGCGCTACTTTGTCAACTTCTATGATATGGAGATAATTGAAGAAGAGGCCTTCCTAGCATGGAAAGAAGATATTACCCAGGAGTTTCCAGGGAAGGGAAATGCATTGTTCCAGGTAATTATCCTACTGCAGTAAACAGTGACACACCATTTCTTTGGAAAACACAAATTTACATATTGTTTTTCTTTTTCTTGTTCAGGTGAACCAGTGGCTCACCTGGCTGGAGACAGCGGAAGAGGAAGAGTCTGAGGAGGAAGCTGACTAAAGAACCAGCCAAAGCCTTGATGTACTCTCCTCTGTCATCACTCCCATTTCGTTTCACCATCTCTCCTTTCACCTGAATCAACCACCGCAGTTCATTCCATGCTGCTTTCTGCAGTGTCGAGCTAACTTATTATTCACGCTCTTTGGCCTCATTGTTTATTAACGCATGTAATGACTAGCATCTGTTCAGAACCACCACAGATAAATGGTATTAGCAGCTTGAAACTGCATCTTTTTTTTATATATATATTTTTTTGCTTTTAAAAACGTGTATTTGCAAGAGCCTTTTCTGTTGCGGTTCATTTCGGCGCACAACTATAGAAATGCACTTTTGCTCAGTGTCATATTTTGAGTTGCTGCAATATTCCGTTTTGTTTGTTTGTTACAAAGAATCCTCAGTAGTCATTGGTTACCATAACGTTTAGTCGATGCTATGTTCATACCTCACAGTAGTGTGCTGTGTGTGTGTGATGGAGTCTAATGAAAAGCTCTCCAGATCTGCAAGGTGCTTGAGTCTGTGAAACAGGAAAAATGGTTTACTTTCCAGTTATGATTGTAAAATAACATGGTTTTTTTTTTTTTTCTTCCCCTCCTATTTCTTATAATAATGAACAAAGCCATGTGGGAGAGATGAAATTATGCAGCCTTTTTCCCAACCCATAAGCGCCCCCCACCCCCCACTACTTGTCAAGCTGATACTTGAATTTTTTTTCTTTACAGCATGTTCAGGGATTACCAAACGCAGCCTGTTTAGATGCAACAATTTGATCCAAACAGAAATGTGTAATTTTTTTTTAATGAATTTTAATTGGTAAAATAAAGATGAAACGAGATGAGAAATTTGGTATGGATGTTCAATATACAAATCACTGTTTTACAACCTAAAAATGTTTTCCCATGATGGATATTATACATATTTATTTAATCATGAGGGGGAAATCAAAGCTTTATCATTAGGTAGGACAACAAATAATGACCTGCTCGTGTGGTTTTGCTATTTAAAGTGTTACTGTACGGTGTAAGAGCTCCGAATGTTCAGTGTGCCACTGTTGCTTTCAATAAAGTTACACACCAGCATTTATTTGGCCTTATTTCATGTGTGCTTTGGCATAAATATGTGATACAAAGAATATGTCATCAGACTTGTATTTACTGAAGGTCATCCGCCAGTACGAATGAACAATGCTGGATATTATTTTATTTTTTAATATTTAACCTGAATCACATTTATGACTGATAACACTACTGCTTACACTTGCAGGCCTCATTGTTCAGTTCCTTTTTTTTTGTTTTTTGTTTTTGCTCAAGTTGTGTTTTGGAACCCATTCCTGAGCTCTTTTTTTTCTGAATATCAGTTGAATTCACTCTGTCACTACTTGTGTACTTTTTGAGTTGTGGTTGGCACTGAACGATGACATCGGAAATGTAAAATTATGCAGTGATTTGTAAATGTTTCTTACTATTCAGGAATGAACAAAAACTGCTTAAAATCCTTGCTCAGAAATGAAATCTAAGAAAATGCTTTGGTTTTAAGTCCGAATATACTGTAATGGTATATGAGATGCCCCATAAATGATGCTTCGTAATGTAATTTTTTAAAATGTTCATTTTTATCTTGTTTTTAAGTAGTTCCTATATATCTCATTCATATTGTGCAATGCTTTCCTTAGGTAGGCTGTTATTGTATTATTGATACCATGTTGGAAACATTTTCTAATAAAGTATGAAAAAAAAGTCACATTTGCAGATTAAGTAATTGCATCTACACTACTGTTCAAAAAAACGATTTTTTTCAGAAATTAATGATTTTATTTATTAGGTACACCTAATAAATGTATATGCACACTCGCCGGCCACTTTAGTAGGTGCACCTGTTCAACTGCTCGTTAACAAATATCTTGCAGCATGCATTTGGGCTTGTAGAGGTGGTCAATACTATCTGCTGAAGTTCAAACCGAGCATCAGAATGGAAGGTAATTTAAGACTCTGAATGTAACATGGTTGTTGGTGCCAGACGGGCTGGTCTGAGTATTCCAGAAACTGCTGATCTAAGGTACTGGGATTTTCACGCACAGCTGTCTCTTCGTTTTCAGTTGCGTAAATGCAATATAGCGTCTGTCTTGACCTAAAGTCTATAGGACTGTGGGACGCAGAGTGTGGTCTTCAAAAGTGACATTGTTCTCGTAGGTAACTTACATGTATGGAAGAAAAATAATGCCATATGTCTTTGAAACAAAAAAGCACGTTGAATAGCACTAACTGAAAAAATAATTAATGAGAGACTTTGCGCATTGCATTCATATTCTGCTGTTCTGTGGCCACGGGTTTGCGGGTCTTGTCTTTTTCTCCTACAGTTGACTTGCAGGACCCTGTATGTTATAGTACTAAATTAGTTTTAATCATTTAACCACCACAGCGTCTTGTCTCCATTGGCAACACGCACGATTCGTGTGGATTGCAAGTAGCTGAGAGTGCAAGCGGCGATTGCAAGTGACTTCGTGATTTAGTTTTTTTTTTTTTCTTGTCTTCACCACCTGGCTACTTGTGTAAAATGTTGAGAGATTCAATAAAACAAATAATTAATCAATTAAATAAAATAAAATAAAAAAAGACTGCAAGTGACGTCACTCGCGGAAGTGCAGGTGTCTGAGAGTGCAAGTCTGAAAATGCAAGTGCATGTCTGCAGCCAGACCCTATCAGTCCTGCTGCTGTGTTATTGTCCAGCTCTCCTCATAACGGCCCGTCTCCTGGTATCTCCTCCATGCTCTTGAAACTGTCCTGGGAGGCACAACACGTATGGATATGCCATCCTGAAGAAGCTGGACTAACTGCAACCTGATTGGTTTGTAGATACTACCTCATGGAACAAGTAGTGAGAAGGACATGAACAAAACAAGAGACAAATCCGTCAGGAGGGATAAGGAGAGAGCAATTGTCTGTGGCCACCACTTGTAAAATCATTCACTTTTTGGGGGTTGTCTTGCTTTTGCCTCTCCAGTGCACCTGTTGTAACTTTTGTTTGCACCAAAGCAGGTAAAACTGATTCACAATCACTTATGCTTCCTATCTGGACAGATGGATATCCCTGAAGTTTAATTGACTTGGTGTTATACTGTAATGATTTAAGTGTTCCCTTAATTCTTTTGAGTGAGAAGTGTATGTTTAATGGAAAGGAGGGTCTTGCAAAATATACATAGATTTGGGTTTTCACCTTTAAGCAGAAATGCATGACATTGAACCTTGAAGCAGATGGGCTACAGCAACAGTAGACCACACCTGGTGCCATTGCTGTCAGCTAGGAATGGGAAACTGAGGCTACAATTCACACAGGCTTACCAAAATTGGACAACAGAAGATTGGAAAAAGGTTGCCTGGTCTGAAGAGTATGCTGATTTCTGCAGCGACATTCAGATGGCAGGGTCAGAATTTGGTACAAACAACATGAAAGCATGGATCCATCCTGCCGTGCATCAACGGTTCAGGCTGCTGGTGCTGTAATGGTGTGTGGGGGACGTTTTCTTGGTGCACTTTGGGACCCTTAGAACCAGTTGAGCATTGTTTAAACACCACAACCCACCTGAGTGTTGTTGGTGACCATGTTCAGCCTCAGTGTATCAATCTGGTGATAGCTACTTCAAGCAGGATAGCGCGTCAGGTCACAAAGCTCAAATCAACTCGGCTTCTTGAACATGACAATGAGTTCATACTCAAATGGCCTCCACAGTCACCAGATCTCCATCCAGTTGTGCACCTTTGGGATGTGGTGGAACGGGAGATTCATATAATGGATGTGCAGCCGACAAATCTGCAGCAACTGCGTGATGTTCTTGGTGCACTTTGGGACCCTTAGAACCAGTTGAGCATTGTTTAAACACCACAACCCACCTGAGTGTTGTTGGTGACCATGTTCACCCTCAGTGTATCGATCTGGTGATAGCTACTTCAAGCAGGATAGCGCGTCAGGTCACAAAGCTCAAATCAACTCGGCTTCTTGAACATGACAATGAGTTCATACTCAAATGGCCTCCACAGTCACCAGATCTCCATCCAGTTGAGCACCTTTGGGATGTGGTGGAACGGGAGATTCATATAATGGATGTGCAGGCGACAAATCTGCAGCAACTGCGTGATGCTCTCATGTCAATATGGACCAAAATCTCTGAGGAATGTTTCCAGCACCTTGAATCTATGCCACAAAGAGTTGAACGCAAAAGGAGGTCCAACTTGGTACTAACAAGGTGTAAATAATAAACTGGCCAGTGGGTGAGTGTATATATTCGAAACACATCACTAACCAGGATACAATACAAATTAGAAAAATGTTTCAAAATATTTTTTACTCAAAAGGTATTTCATATTGTACACCAACTCTGAATCACAGCGTGTGATTGTCCCTTTAGACTACGGAGCTCATTATATGCTGTAATGCCTGCTAAAGAGGTTTCGAACGTTTCTTACTCAAAAGACTGAACAGAAAACACCATTCTCATTTTTGAAAAATAAAAGCAAAAACATTGTGTAAAATCCGAGAAACATTATCCAGGAAGACACTTAACTACGTACTATGATCTGAACATTACATTACAACAACAAAGGCTTTTTTTCCCCTGAACCGACCGAACGGTCAGCAACTCAGTCACTGTCATCATCAGATCCTCTGTTGGAGGCTTCATTGTTGGACCCCTCCGGCTCAGAGTCGTTATCGGACCTCTGTGGAGAGCCTTGGTTCTCTGAGCCTCGATCTGAAGCGGCGGCTGGAGATCTGGCCTGAGACTCATCGTCAGACCCTTCAGAGCGGCTCTTCTTGCTCTCGTTGTCTGACTGCTCCGAGTCGGACTGCTGTTGTGGTCTCCTCCTCTTCACCGGGCGTTCGCTGCCAGACTCATCCTCGTCTGAGTTTCCAGAGCGTTGGGGGCTGCCGGCCTCACTGCCTGATTGGTTACGCTCCTCATTGGAATCACTGTCAGAAGCAATGCGTTTCCTGTGGCCTTCGTCGTTGTCTGAACCAGAGCCGCTGTCCCTGGGGTTTCTGGACATAAAACAGACAATTTAAGGAATAAATAAATTCTTAATGAAACAGAAATTGCAGCATATGTTGTTTTCCGTATTGTGACGTACATCCTAGAGTAACAGGTTATGGTAAAAGAAAACAACGTAGGGTGGGGACTTGGTTCTATGCATCGGCTGTTGATTAGATTTTGAGATGTGGGTGTTTCACTCAAAAATAGAGGCTGATGAACATGAGCTTTTAAGACTTAATAAGGGTATTTCAAACTAGATGACCACAAGGGAAAAAGTGCAAGTGCAGAAAAAATGTAAGAAAAAACAATAAATAAATGTAATAAAAAATGTATATAAATAAATAAATAAAAATTAAAATAGAGTACATAAGTGACTGAATGAATGCTATACTATGATACGAAGGGGGAAAAAAAGTAATACAATCAGAGGAGCAATAATATACAAGTGCTATATTAGTATATTATTATAGTGTTATATTTCAGTTTCACAAAGAAACGTGCAGCATTTTGTCCAAGCAATAATAAAAGGACAATTTAATTTAATTTATAATTTGTCTTAAATCTCATTTTGTTAAAAAAAAAATCTGTGAATCAAATCGAATCTTGAGTTGAGTGAATCGTTACATCCCTAAATGTAACAAAACTAATTATTTTCCAAATAATATTTTAGTTATTTTTTACAACATAAATAGATCAGGGTTTTTCTAACTGGGGTCCAGGAAATGCTAGGGAGTCCATGTAAATGTTTACAGAAAAAGTGTCAAATAAAATAAAATATAATATAATAAAAAAAAAATAATAATAAATTAAATTAAAAATCACCAAAGAGAAGTCTGTCGTTTTACTGGAAGATCCAGAAATGAATGGATGAATTGTTCACAATAAGTTCTATAACATGCATTTACAAAATAGATAGGGTGAAATTCCAGCTCATGCCAACTTTAAGCGAACTCAAGTGACGTCTCTCACCTGTCTTCTGCTATTTTCAGGCCATCCTCATCGGAGGAGGAATCAGAGGATGAAATGATTGCCTTGGACTTGATCTTCCCTTTAAGAGAAGGCGGCATGCGCTCCGGCTTGTACTTAAAAAAAAGAAGAGAAATGCAATTAGAACTAAATCTCACCATACAGGTAAAACTTTCATGTTAAGTGCTCAGAGCACTGGTACCTTCTCGTTCCTCTTGCGCTCTCTGGGCTTACGCTGCTTTTTAGGCCTTGAACCTCCTTCCTCATCATCAGAACCTTCATCTTCTCGTTTAGCCGGTCTGAGGAAACAACAAGAGAAACACACTGAAACTCAACCTGACCCAGAATAAACCAGTTTTTAACTACAATCAGATGCTCAGAAAAATTATATGATATAATTTTAATAAATAATAATTTACATATATTTTATTGATAACTTAATTTATATAATTCATAATTTAAATTGATGCAAAAAAAAAAAAAAAAGTACACTAGCTCACAATTTGGCACCTATAACAAAACTGATATTTATTATATATATAATATAATTACTACATATTATATAATCTCATTACATAATTATATAATAAATTATATATAAAAATTATAAATTAAGATATGTAAATGCATCATAATCCTCTGAACTGAAGACTATTGGAGACATTAACTAAAACTATTAAAAATTGTTAATTGAAAGCTGAAATAAAATTAAAAAAAAAAAAATTTCAGTTAGTTGTCAAGGCAACATTTCTATTTGTTTATATGAAGAGATTTATTTTATTTGTGTTATTTATTTGATTTGGGGCTTGTTTTAAAATTTCAATTTAGTTTTGTTATTTACATTTACATTATATTTAAATTTTGTTATTTAGCAGATGCTTTTGTCCAAAGCGACTTACAAATGAGGACAATAGAAGCAATCAAAACCAACAGAGGAGCAATAATATACAAGTGCTATATTAGTATATTATTATAGTGTTATATTTCAGTTTCACAAAGAAACGTGCAGCATTTTGTCCAAGCAATAATAAAAGGACAATTTAATTTAATTTATAATTTGTCTTAAATCTCATTTTGTTAAAAAAAAAATCTGTGAATCAAATCGAATCTTGAGTTGAGTGAATCGTTACATCCCTAAATGTAACAAAACTAATTATTTTCCAAATAATATTTTAGTTATTTTTTACAACATAAATAGATCAGGGTTTTTCTAACTGGGGTCCAGGAAATGCTAGGGAGTCCATGTAAATGTTTACAGAAAAAGTGTCAAATAAAATAAAATATAATATAATAAAAAAAAAATAATAATAAATTAAATTAAAAATCACCAAAGAGAAGTCTGTCGTTTTACTGGAAGATCCAGAAATGAATGGATGAATTGTTCACAATAAGTTCTATAACATGCATTTACAAAATAGATAGGGTGAAATTCCAGCTCATGCCAACTTTAAGCGAACTCAAGTGACGTCTCTCACCTGTCTTCTGCTATTTTCAGGCCATCCTCATCGGAGGAGGAATCAGAGGATGAAATGATTGCCTTGGACTTGATCTTCCCTTTAAGAGAAGGCGGCATGCGCTCCGGCTTGTACTTAAAAAAAAGAAGAGAAATGCAATTAGAACTAAATCTCACCATACAGGTAAAACTTTCATGTTAAGTGCTCAGAGCACTGGTACCTTCTCGTTCCTCTTGCGCTCTCTGGGCTTACGCTGCTTTTTAGGCCTTGAACCTCCTTCCTCATCATCAGAACCTTCATCTTCTCGTTTAGCCGGTCTGAGGAAACAACAAGAGAAACACACTGAAACTCAACCTGACCCAGAATAAACCAGTTTTTAACTACAATCAGATGCTCAGAAAAATTATATGATATAATTTTAATAAATAATAATTTACATATATTTTATTGATAACTTAATTTATATAATTCATAATTTAAATTGATGCAAAAAAAAAAAAAAAAGTACACTAGCTCACAATTTGGCACCTATAACAAAACTGCCCATATTTCATTATAAAATTTTATTATATATATAATATAATTACTACATATTATATAATCTCATTACATAATTATATAATAAATTATATATAAAAATTATAAATTAAGATATGTAAATGCATCATAATCCTCTGAACTGAAGACTATTGGAGACATTAACTAAAACTATTAAAAATTGTTAATTGAAAGCTGAAATAAAATAAAAATTTCAGTTAGTTGTCAAGGCAACATTTCTAATTTTCATTTAGTTTATGCTGAACCAAAAAAAAACTAAAACTGAAATGATTATTAATTAATATTAATAATTATTAAAATGACAAAAGCACAATATAAAATTACTAAAATGAAAACTGAATAATGGTAAAAAAGAAAGCTATTCCAAAATATTACTAAAAACTATAATTATACTAAAATAACGGAGTTCCTGAATTCCTCATGAATTCAGTGGATATGTTTTCACTAATGTTTACCTCCTCCTCTTTTTACGGGCTTTCTTCTCTCCATCCTCCTCGGCATCCTCAACTTCACTGCCACTCCCAGCTTTCTTCTTCTTTTTCTTGACTGGCAGGTCCTCATCAGAGTCATCATTGACAAAGTCATCAAAGTCGCCTCCTTTCTTGCGCTAAATAAAAAAGTACATGAACATTTTATTACATTTTAAAAAGACGGGGTGTGAAAAAGAGTGTTGAAGTGCTTAAACTCACCCGTCCACTGCCTCCTTTCTTCTTCTCCTTCGCTGCTTTCATGGCCTCTGAGAAGTTGAGCAGGCTCTTGGTCTTCTCCACATACTGGGCTCTCTGCTCGAGCAGTTTCTTCTGCTCCTCGGCCTCTTTGCTCTTCCTCTCCTCCTGTTTTTTCAGCATCTGCTGCCGCAGCAGGTCTCTCTCCTGCTCCTGTTTGGCGCGGTGCTCCTTCTCCTCCTCATCTTGTTTCCGAGCTCGGGCCACATGGTATTGAGCCTGGCTTAGCAAATCAGAGCACTGCCTGAAAGAGAAAACATATTTAAAATGAGTCAATTCTGTCATCATTTATTCCCTCTTATGTCATTCAATAGCCTCCCCCAAAAAAAGAAGAAAATTGTATGTATATATACAGTGTAGGAATATACTAAAAATGTGTAATTTATACAAATATATATAAAATATATCAAAAATATTTAAAAAAGAAAATAAATATATATTTTGTAAAATAAAATGAAAAAAGATAAAATTATAAAACATTAATTTGTATATATAACTAAACTAAAAATCTGTGTAATTTATAACATTTATAAAATGTCAAAAATATTTCAAAAATAAAAATATATTTTGTATTTTATTGAATAAATTAAATTATTAGATAATTAAAAAAATAAAACTGTACATAACTGTATATTAAGCATCAAATATTTTTAGATTGGCTGTGGATTTTTTCATGACACCCTACATTTTCATTGGAGGTGTCAGATTAGGGCTGCACGATTATGACAAAAATCATAATTGTCGATTATTCCCTTGAAATTGTAATTGCGATTATTAATTACGATTATCACAATTTACATTGAATGATGTTTATACCATTGTTTGATGCAACTGCATGCCGTATTTTTATATGAAAATAAACAAGCTGAAAACAGTCTAAAGTGCTTTTCTATAGTATTAAGCCTCAAATGTCAACTATACATCGGATTGGTTTCTTCTTTAAATTATAAAAAAAATAAAAATATGAATGGTATTATAATGTTATACTAAAACTAAAATTTAAATAATGGGAAAAACCCGTAAGATAACATGTAGAAAGGAAAAAAAACACATCTTAAGCACGCAGAATAACATAAGTGGACTTTGAACGATTACGTAATTGTGGCATCCATAATTGTAATCGCGATTAATTGTGCAGCCCTATGTCAGATCACATCAGACTGGGACATTTGTGGAAACTTTAATTTCAGAACAAATATCCCATATCTGGAAGAACAAACCTACCTGGCTTCGCTTGCAGCCAGCGCAAGGTCGAATCTCATTTTGTCCCCAGCCTTACTGAGGTAGCTGAAGTACCTGTGAGAACAATAACAGAAAGTTATGAAAGCCATGAGAGCTTCAAGCTGTAGTGCGTCATAGGCTGGAGGTCCTGGATTTCACGTACCTGTGAGCCAACTCCAGCTCTTTCACCGCACTCAATACAGCCTTCAGATTACTCTTCTCGTCCTTCAGCACCAGAGTGGCCAACCTCTGCAGCACCAGCGCCACATTAAACATCAGCACTGTGTCACTGGGAGCCACATGCCGGGCCTGAGAATCAAAGAAGCAGAAAAACAGCAGGAAGTCAGAAACGTTTATAACTAGGACTGCCAATAGGTTAAAATAATGCTAATTTTTTAATATTTACTAATACATTATTAAAATCAAGAGTTGTACTTTATCTGTTAATATTATTTAAAGGGGTCATCGGATGCCCATTTTCCACAAGTTGATATGATTCTTTAGGGTCTTAATGAAAAGTCTGTAACATAGTTTGGTAAAAATTTCTCAATGGTAGTGTAAAAAACACCTTTTTTACCCTGTCAAAAACTGTTCTTTTCAGAGCAAGTCGTTTTGTAGCATTTTCCTTTAAATGTTAATGGCGTTTGAGAGAGGCGGGGCATATAGGACCTACAATAATGTACAGTATTTGAAGAATAATGTGTTTTTTGAACATTAAAGCATGTCAACATATTCTGTTACACCAAATACACCAAATAATGATCTTTAAAAAAGCATCATATGACCCCTTTAACTAACATTAACAAAGATTAATAATACTAGCCTATAATAAACGTATTGCTCATTGTTAGGTAATGCATTAACTAGCATTAACTAATGGAACTTTATTGTAAAGTGTTATCAATATTTTTTAAATAATGAATCATAATTAATACAATAATAAAAACATAAGAATAAAATAATACATTGGGTTCCACTTTAAAAGATAACTAAATAATATGTTCAATTAAATAAATTGTTTAATATTATTTAAAAAAATATGCAACATATAAATAAATATGAGCATAAATAACAATTTGACTTACATATAATAATATCCAGCAGCCTGATTTATTACAGAAGAAAAAAAAAAGAATACTAATATAAAATATTACTAATATAATTCTATAA